TAGCCTCACAATCATCGTCATTTAGCCACAAAAGTCTAATTGTACTAAATACGCCATTAAAGCCACAATAACAAACCAACTACTAGGAAACAACAACACAATTGATTTGAATGATTTACATAATACCAGATTTCAATAGACATGATAAAAATTCATGCTTTATTGTGTGTGCTTCATCGACTATATTCGACTTTTAAGGTCAAAAACACTATTTTTCTCGTTTCGTTTCAAGGGAGTGTGAAACGCGTTTATAAAAATTACAACATAACATAACGTTACAAGATATATCTATATATATAATTATCATACACAATTGAATAATTATCAATTGCGAGTTCCAACATTTGTTTCTTCTCCCTTTTAATGTTGTTCACCATTTATCTTACCCTTATGATCATGTTCATCAGCAAACCCATTTTGGTTCTCTATCTTATGAAACTCAGTTTCTATCGTTTGAACAATCTTACAGTCCATCAGATCAGGTTCAGGGAACTCCACATGAAAAGATCCTTGCTTGAGTGGGGCCCGCGATTTTCCACCAACAGCTTGTTGGTTTATGTAGTTATACAGCTGCTGGTGGAACCCATGGTCCAATGAGAAACAAGAATCATCACCACCACTGTTGTTTCTTGCAAGCTTTGATGATCCAGACCCTTGTCTTCTACAAAATGGGGTAGAGATTCGTAATCCATTATCTGCTCATTTCAAGTAAAATATATAACATCAGGGACTCATTCCAACATGGAAACGGAATGTAATGATCTATTCCATTCCATCGTAACAAACAGAGACTCTTAAAGTACCTTCAAGAGTTCATCTTTCCCACAACCCGAAAGCACCTGGACCTTCTTTCTTGTTCTTTCTTGCAGGAGTGGCTTCACAACCTGCAAAGATTCAAACTTTATGATTCGGGTGTAGAAAAGAATCTTGAAATCTTTCATCAAAAGTGAAGAGAAATGACAAACCTTCCAGCAAGCTGAAAATACATATGGTGCATTCACTATATAGTAGGTATCTGTCTTCTCTGGGTAGTTTAAGTCATCGATGCTAGATATAACAGTTAATAACTGCAAATTTGATGAAAATGTTTTCACATAAGATTTGTAATTAGTTCATAAACTGACTACTGGATTACTGATTTGATAGAGTAAGTAGCGTACCTTGATTTGATTGAGATGGGAAAGTTTGAGCCCAGTCATATCAAGAACCTTGACACATGTGCTTATGTGTCGTTCAAAATTTTTTGTTGCAGATGGCTAAAATGAAAGGGGAGTTGCTTATTTGAAAAGATGATGGAAAATTTATGTGGTTGAAACTTGAAAGTATTATTGTGAATATGTGATATGAACTTACCAAAATTATGCGGTCTCTGTATTCGTTTATCTGGATGTGTGATTGAACATAGCAATGAATCTAGAAGAGAAGAGAAGAATATCATGAAACAGAAGGGTATTTGGATGCGAACTTTTGTAGTGCTTGTTACAATTTGAAGAATCAGAATCAGAATTAGAATCGGAATCAGAAGATATGGAATGCTTACAGATGCTTTGTCATATGTGCTAAGCCCTACACCAACAGCAATAACAGGTCGCCCCTGGATAGTTTATCAAGAAACCAGAGAGCCATGAATATGGAAGCAAATGAAACCAGAATAGTATTAGTTGGGTGAAAAACGCATACATCTTTTGTGTAACCCGACATGCTATAAGCTGGGATTCACGCACTGATCTGTAAAGCTCAATAGGAACGATTGGTTTCTGGGAATATAAGAAGAGAAAGTTAGCAATGATGATTACATGAAAAAAAAAATGTAAATATTTCATGAACAAAACTCACCGACAATATTTTGTCGATCTGGTTTTCAATCCTCCAATTTAGACAATCGACAAGCTGAAAGCTAAGATGCATCAGTAGGCATGTAATGTGATAATGAGTTTTTTAAGTTTCAACGAGAATGAGTTTGATTTTAACCATTTTATGAGCTTTGGAGATGTTTCCGTCTCGTGCTTTAAGAAACCGAACAATAGTCTCAGTTGGATATCCTTGATGCAAATTCTGGAAATGAAGATCAAATTAGAGCAGTAATTATAATTAATTTTAACAGAGACCATACGAATTTGAAGTTTATACACGCTTTGGTGTATTGAGATTTGAAGAAAATGGTTCGTTTGACGAAAAGATTCAAACGCTGACTTCGATTTGAATTTAGAGACTCAGATCAGGAAAAACGATCGAAAATTATAAAAGGGGATCGCGGTTGAGTCGGTAAATATTAGAAACTATACTAACAACAGATCCAAACAGCTAAGTAGAGCAGAAATCGAACCTCGTATATGATCTTGATAGGCTCGTCAACTGCGGAAACAAATTAGAGTGTAAATCACCGGAAAAAATCAAATCAAAGAAAAATGTGAGGGTTTTAGAAAGAGAGAGAGAAACACTAACATGCTTCTATCAGATTCTGGAATTGCTTTATCATATCCTGGGTTATGATCACCATTTTCCTCTTTTTGCGACAATCAATCCGCTCTTAAGAAACCAAACCCAGTTTACCAAACTTCAATTTTCATAAATTTGTTCTAACCATTCATCCACCTGAGAGAGAGAGAGAGAGAGAGAGAGAGAATGTGGGCGTGAGTCGTGACTATGAAGAGCAGGGAAGTAGTTGGCATGCGTTCGCACATATACTTGATGAAATTAATGGCGGAAGATTGAAGCTTTTTAACGTTAAAAATGCTGGTATTTTTTTGAGAATTTGTTTAGGTAAAGGGTTTGGTGTATATTTTTTGTCATTAGCAAAAGGGATTTTATATTCTTTATAAATTTTAATAAAAAATAAAAACTTTTTTAATAAAAACCATATTGAAATTACAAATAACATGCAATTAAAAATTACATTTTATAAATCCCAAAAATTAAAAATATCATGAAATTAAAAACTACATTAAAAACTTTAAAAAAATGACGTGAAAAATTAAGAAAACCAAGAATAAAAACATAGCATCGAAATTTCATTTTCGTTTTAGATTATATTTTTCACGAATCGACACCTTCATCACTTTAGCCACCTCATCTTCGGGGTCGAGATGCCTCACATCTTGTATTAACAACGGATATTTTGTCAGTCGGACGGTTTCAGTCATATGTTTCTCTAAAGTTGTATTCAATTGTGTTATTTGTGTTATCATTTCATTCGATCTAGTTGACCGCTCGGTTCCGAACGACAAATTTGAAGATGTTGCTTTTCCTTTTCCTCTGACTCGAGCTTTTGTTTTGTCGATTCCCATAGGAGGAGGCGGCGGGTGTATTTCTTCGATGTCGTTGTTATCATCATTAAGATTAACGCCTATGTGACCATCCGATGTCACTTGTTGTGAGCTCGAATATGAAGATGTTCGACTTCTTTTTGGTGGATTAGCAATGTCTTCATGTGTTGTAAGTTTCGTCCACCTAATGCTTCTTTTGACAACTTATCACACATGAATAAACATATAAGGCTTTAGCATGTCATCTTGGAATGTTGCATGCGTTTTTTTCAACAAACCCGTCTCACTTTCTCCTTTTGCCCGTTGCTTTTCAAATTTTGTGTAAATTTTGTTCCAGTGGGTCACGAGTTTGTTTACAATATTCCATTTCGAGCTATATTGTTCAGATGTTCGGTAATCCGGATTTCGACCCATTCCCTTACAAAACTGCTCCGTAATACGTAACCAAAATTAATCACGCGATTAACCCTTTCCCATGCCACCATCTTCGAATATGTCGACCCATACCTTTGCTAATTTCGTCTCTTATTTTTAGTCCATCTTCTTGGATCGACATTTCATTTTTTTTTGTTGAGGTTGGTCTTCGTGTAACATCCCAAATTTCGAATCCAAAAATTTCGTTTTTAAATTAAATAATTTATAGAGTCGTTTACTGAAAATATCATAGATATCATATCAATCCGAAAACCATCATAAACATGTCTCGCATATCAAATCATCAAGCAGTAATAAAATCAGAGTACAATCCCATGAATCACATAGTACGGAAACTGATGTGCATGTGATGTGCAGCTACCACATCGACTCTTTCCTCTTTGCTGAACAGGTACCTGAAACCAAAACTGAAAACTGTAAGCACGAAGCTTCGTGAGTTCCCCCATCATACCACATACCATACAATCACGTAACATACATACTGTTGGGCAATTTTTGGGTGCCCGACCTACCCAGTCCGACCATTCTGGGGTGCCGACCTACCAGTGTCAAGCTGTTCTGGGGTGCTGACCTACCCATGTCAAGCTATTCTGGGGTGCTGACTTACCCATGTCATACCATTATAGGGTGCTGACTTACCCTTCGGTCCTAACAATCGGACTCCGGGGACTATTTCACCCCTACTACTACCACCATCACATATAACATATCATAAGCATACTGTCAGGCATATCTGGTGTGCCCGACCTACCCTTCGGTCCTAACAACCGAACTTGGGGACCTGTCCCCTCCTACTGCCACTATCACATATAACATATCATACTAGCACATAAACACATCAGATAGTAGCAACCAAACAATTATCACAAAGAAAATCATCACATTATAATCAAACTACCAGTGGGTCGGCCTTGGTGCCTTAGACCCACTTCTACCGGAAGGTAACTCACCTCGATGTCGTGTAGTATTCGCACAGTCCTTGGCACGGGTATCAACTCGTCTCGACTCCTCAATCCCTACATAACGATCTTTCTCGATTACTACGCATACCAATAACCTTAGAGGGTCAACCCAAACCCAAAGTCAAAGTCAATGTCAAAGTCAACCTCCAGATTGCTCGACTCGCTGAGTTGGCCCGCCAACTTTGTTGGATTAGTGTCTAAGTCCATAACTATTTTGGTATGTACTTGACCCGATGGTGCATGGTCCTTTTGGGTTGCCTTCATCAAAGCAACTTGATAGGATGAATTATGGAGAGAAAGGATTAAATATGATTTATTAATATATTATGAGAATAATATATTAAAGGAGAAATCATATTGTTTAATTAATATTAGTCAAGAATTAATTGGTAATTAGTTTTGTGACTAAAAGAGATTAATTAAACATAAGGGACTGGAATTGTAATTATAAGATAATTGCAATTTGGGCTATGGATTGCCTTATATTAAGGGGTGGACGAATTCTATGGGGAAACCCATGAGAAATCGTCCAAGGCCTTAAGGAAAGGGGGCCCATGGGTTGCTTAGGGCTTAAGCATCCAAATTAGGGTTTCCTTGTTAGATAATCCTAATAGCCTCACTATATATAGATCCCTTATGACCCAAAAACGTGGCTAAGCATCCTTCTAGGGTTTCACACGTTTTAGAGCAGCCTCCATCCTCTTTTGTGACAACCCGATATTTCAACTCTTTGTAATGGCCTAATAGGTCAAGTATTGTAAACATTTTTGAGTTAATAAAATTAACTTTGATAATAAAATGTCCAAAAAGTTTCTATTTAAATTCTTCTATGTTTAAATATCATTAAACCATGATCGTACGTAAAAAGAACGCCCAAATCCGACTTCGTATATTGAAGTTATGATTTTTCCAAGTTCAGCTTAGCAACAGACAGCTAAAAACTCGAAACGGAGATCGAGCGACATTTGGCCGGAATGACCTAAACGAGAATCGAAGGTCTCGACAATGGTATTTCAACGGTAAAAAGTCTGGCAAAAACCGACGTCAGATAAAGAAGTTATGAATTTTTAAAGAAATTCCTTAATCACGTCATTTTAAATTAAATAATAAAAATAATTTCGGAATTTGCCAACGGAATCTAAACGAAAGTTGTAGATCGTAGTCTCACCTTCGCGGGGATATAAAGAACGTCGAAAACGGAGTTCGTATGAAGGAGATATGAATTTTTGAAGTTTGATAAATAATTTATATATAATTTTTATTAAAAATTCGGTATTATCCGAAGAGGAGTCAGCCTAGGGCCGAGGTACGCGCCGCGTACCCTCGTACGCCCCGCGTACTCGAGGCACGGCCTCGGATCGTCCACGTCGCCCTATGCGAAGCTACCCGACCCGCCGTCCCATCCGACCCGCCCCATCCGAAATACGTAAGCAGTGACGTCCCGTACGCACCGCGTACGGGAGTACGCCCCGCGTACGAGGGCCTTCCAGCCCCCTATAAAAGGGTGCGAGGGGTTCCGGAAAAATTGCTCATTCACTCTCTTTTTCTTGCGTTTTACCTCGTTTTCCGTGCTCGCACTACCCCGAAGCCCTGGTCATTTTTGCTCAAGTCCCGAGGGTCGATTTTACTCCCGAGATTCCCGAGAATCCCGAGAAAAATCCGTTTCCGAGACGAAACTCTGCCCGGTTTTCGATCTCGCTATCTTCAAACTTCCAAGTGAGTTCATACCCCTTTATTCAACCTTTGAAATGCTTTTAAATGTTTTAAATACTTTATGGGGGGGAATACAAGTTAAACACTTATAGTTATTGCTTCGATCACATGTGATTGCATTAATCACATGTGATTAATAACTAGGAAACCAATGATTTTATCACTGTTCAAACTGTTTTACTTCAAAATGTTTTACAAACTCTTTTACTTATCAAATGCTTTATTGTAAACTTTGTTTTACTACTTATAAATTTGCATGCCCATATATGTATAGATGTATAAATAATGTTTAAAGGGCTTAGGAAAGCCACCTGTCCTATTTCCTTTTCCTCGATTTGGATGTGGTCTGGTGGAATTTCGGGTGACCATCCGAGGGTCGTTTCAATATTAGTTATATATCATATATACATGTATAGACATAAAAGTACTTCCATATTCATACTTATCAGCACATCATTAGTAAGTTACCATCGGGGTAACACAGGATCATACTACTACAATTTCTAGATCAACGAGTCAGTTCATTCAGGAGTCAATACTTATTACTAAGAGAACATATACAACGATACTAGAACAAGTAACATTATATTGCATATACACGAATACGTTAACAATTGTGATCCACTGTATGGGAGCATGTCTTAATTGTCATGACCCGAGTTGTAGCCAGAGTCTCTTGGAGGGAGAGCGTGAGTTTGCGTATAGATCTATACTGGATTGACTATCCTACACCTCGCTGCTAGCTACAGTGGGACCGACAGGTCTGCGGGTGCCAAACGTCATACCTTATTTTTCGACTATACGTTGTCGATGTTACCAGTCGATAGTATGGTGCAATTTATCACATGATACCTTAATATAAACCCGGTTTAAGGTAGTTAGTACAGCAGTAGTTCTATAAAACAAAACTACCGTACTACAATAATTTACCCATTACATTTTGGTGATAACCTCACTTAAACTTTAATGTACAAACTATATTTTGTTAAATGATAGTTACACTTGGGAAATTACACACTTTTACATCAAACGAGCATACAAAACAGTTAAGCCTTGGTAGAGGGCTACTTTAACAGAAAATATAGGTTTTTCTGAGAGATTCAAACTTTTACAAACACTTACATACATTTACAACTCATACTTGCGACAGGTTCAAACGTTTTGATAACAAACCTCGACACTAAAATACTTATGAATTCACCAGCTTAATGCTGATAAACTCTTTCAAAATAACTTGTATTCTCAGGTCATCAGTAGACAGGTACCGATGCTAGCTTTTGAGAAGATGGAGCGCATTCAAGACTCATCATACTATTTTGATTTAAATTATATTTTTGGTGTCTAAAACTGTACGGAACACGCTTGTATTAAAATTTTATATTTAATGCAATGGATGATGTTGTTTGCTTATTTACATTTACTGTGTTGTGATACTTTACATGACGTCCTCCGCCCCAGAACGTTTCCGCCATTCTTGGTTTTGGGGTGTGACAGATTGGTATCAGAGCATTGTTTATAGTGAAGCAAGTATATCAACCCATAAAAGATATACTAAACTATAAACCCATTTGGGATTAAAACACTCTGACCAAGAGTCTATACTTTAAATACTAAAATAGTTAATTAAGTATACTAGTCTGCATTCATACTAAAACCAGTGTCACAACGACAAGAACAAGAGTATTACGATTGTTAAATATCACAGGTAAGCTAGGGGATGTATGGTCAGTCCTGGGAATGGCATAGCCTGATCAACTATGCTGGTCCGAGGAGTGATTAGCATATGCCCTAGAATAGTTGTGATGTGTTAACAAGTCTAAAAACTTACCAACAATGCCACAAAAAGATCAGTGGAACTTAAACTTAAAATACTATAGGTGTATTTTGTGCTATTAACTACATACATACTATATCTTTATACCTCTCTTCTCGCGTAGATTTAAATGGCTGGATTCCATCACGACGACCCGTACTTTCCAAATGAAGGCAACATAGGAATGCTCGAAGCAGAGTCTGACAATGAACACCAAATTCCGTTGGATGATCATCAAGCTGAAGGCTTCTCAGATGGATCAGACTCTGAGCCTGAAGTCAACAACCTACTCGCTCTAGGTCAACCCCCACAACAACCCTCGACCAGCTTTTCCAGGTCCTATCCCTTATGGGCAGCCCAACTTGAATCGTAGTGAGCAGTGGCAACTGCCATGGCTCAGTATCACTCTTCTGACCGCAGAGGTGGAACCCCTTGGAATCAATCCCGGTTGAAACCCCTGTGCGCTCGAGAGAGTGCTCTTACAAGGATTT